GGAATTGGCTAAGTACCTTGGTAGGGTGATTACATAATTTCTCAGATCAGGACCATTTCTCAAACCATTATATCCATCATTCCTTATAGCCTTAAAGTACAATAAAATTTTTAGTATATCCAACTGGGTATAAGCTCTATTCAAAATATCTCAAGAACAGTCTGTTCCTCTTCAATGCTATCACTCAAGTCTAGGCACTCACGACTTTATTCCTGCACCTGAAGGATATTCTTAATTTCCCTGTACATTCTAAGAGTGAAAGGGGCACTGATTCCCTGGAACCCCAGGACATCGGGCATAAACTGGGCCTGTCCTGATAGAAACAGGATGTAAGGGCCCCCTAACTTTAGGAAGAGGCAAGTTTCTGCTATTTTAACATACTATCTCTAAATGATTTGTCCCAACCATAAGGTAGAGGTAACAGTGAACTTAGCCTAGATAAAAATCTGTCAAACACTCAGATTCCTTCTGAATATAAACATGAAGTAGTACCCCTAATTATTTCAGTAATTAGGTTTTTTTCTTTCATAATTTAGAAGCACAAATTGCATTTATTTTGGTCATAATAAAGTGATGGTATAATTAAACTTATATTCAAATATGTAGATGAAAGGTTTTGTATTTACTTACTTTAAATATTGACCACATATTTAGAATATTTTTATTCAAGAGTCATGTAGAAAAATGAGGTCAAAAACAAACTTTATTTACATAGAGATAATAAGGATCTCAATAACTCAAATATTGAATAATTAAGCTTTGGGTTGACTAGAAGTCCATGATTCACCAATCCTGTTTTACGAAAGCAATATAAAAACTACATTTGGTATTTTCCCTCAGTTCTCTGGTATTCTTGAAGCTTGCCAAAGAACACTTTAATGATAGCTTGTTGAACAGCAATAGAAATGAGATGATGTACTTAGAAGTCAGTCTCTCACAAAGAAGACATTATATCCAAGTTCTGTTAAAGCCCCAGCCAGTAAGGCCCATAAAGGAATGAAGACATAGGACAGATTCATGGTAGTAAACTGTTCCAGCTTAGCACAGAGTGCAAGGCAGAAGGCTAATTTAAGTAACATTGCAATAAGGTACCAGGCTTTTTTTTTAATATTGTGCGATCCATGTCGAGGGTCAAAGCCAGACTTACACCGCCCAGCCATTTTCACAATCAGCATGACAAGAAGGATAGTGTCAAATATCCAGACTGGAATAAATATGAGGAACCAGTTCCAAGGTGCCTTCTCATCCAGTTTCAACACCAACATGATCAAGAAGAGTAATGTGAAAAGCCAGGTGAGTAGTACTCTCTGAGCCAAGGACATTCTCATTTAAACAGTTTAAAGAGGCTGTTGCAGGGTCGAAAAAGGGGAGATACACCCTAAGAGAAGGAAAAAAAGTCAAGATTGTTTTTATACCAGGAAAAAAAAATATCACTTCCATTCCTAGCAAACAAAGCTGGCTCTTTCCCACTCACTGACTTCCTGATTTTAAAAACATTCTACCATTCTTCCTTTCAAAACCTCTATAACTTACAGCAATCACTGACATTATATCCATCATTCATTCTAGCCCATGACAAAGTACAATAAAATTTTTAGTATATCCACTGGGTATATAAGCTCTATTCAAAATATCTCAAGAGCAGTCTGTTCCTCTTCAATGCTATGCCACTCAAGTCTAGGCACTCACGACTGAAATTTTTCTGTAAAAATGAAAAATCTGTAATTTTTCATTCAATTTCAAGGGGTACAAAGAAAAACCATTCAAAATCAAAGTAGTGAAAAAGGAGGAGGTGGTATCAAGCCAAGAGAGGAGAGTTTTATAAGGACGGAATGGTTAAAAAAAATTGCAAGGACATCAAGTAGAATTAAGATTATAAAGAGGTTGTTGGGTTAACTGATATATTACCAGAAGGCATTGGTAACACTGGGTTTTCACATAGTTTAATCTATGGGTCTTACATTCTTAAATTCTTATTTTCTCATTAAAATTCTTATAAATATCTATTTTCTTTGTCTAAGATTTTTCTTTTTTTTCCTTTTGATAATACTCACTGTATGTTTTTTGTTGTGGTATGTAGTTTTTTTTTTTTTACTACTTGCTATCCAATTAGAATTCAGGACCACCTAATAACTTTTGAATTTTTGTGATTATGAGATGCTACATTCTACAATTGGTGCTATTTCTTATATCACTATTCATCTCACTGATCTCTATATTTCTGCTTTGCACTAATACTATATGACTTACCACTGCTCTAGGATATGTCCTAATATTTGGAACGCTTAGTACTTATTCACTGTTATCTTTTCCAGAATATTTTCTATTTTGCCCTTTCATTTTTTCAATGCTAAAATTGCTAAGCTAATTCTTAAAAACTTGGAATTTTGATTGAGAATGTATTAACTTATAACTTAGCTTAGGTATAAATGTTTATTATATTTAATCTTCACATATAGGTTTATAGTATGTTTCTCCACTTAATCAAGTTTTTTATACCAACATTTGTGACCATTTGGAAAAAGGGTAAGTAGAATGGGAAGTCATCTGCCAGACTGCTTGCAGTTGGGTGAGGAGTTAACAGAAGGTAAAGAAATGGAGACAGTTGAGAACATTTTATTCCCTTAGACATTTGGAGAAAAGAAAATAAAAGATAAGATGTGAAATTGAGAAAGGGAGAGAACATATGAAAATTGAGAAAATTTCAGGAAAGGAGGAATCTAATTATGATTATAAGCTCAGGGAAATAAGCCACTGGGGAATGAAAGGCTGAAAATGAGATCTACTTGATAGAAAAAGATCTGAAGATGGTAGGAATAGGAACAAAAGCATGGTTGGGAAAAGTTAGGAGTAAAGATGCAGGAAGATAAGAAACAAGGAAAAGGTAAAGAAACTGGCTAGCTGAACCAAATACCTTAGACTAGAGTGCTCACTTGATTATGTTTTTAGTACTAACTTTGATGTACTTTGCAACATCTCTACTACTATAAATAGTGGGTGGCTATCATGGTGCATGAGTACACATTTGTTTTATTTCAATGGTTAGATATGAGTCTCCTAACTCACCTCTTTGCCCTTATACCCATCTACTTGCACTTGTTTACTTAACTGGCAGATGCTTCATACTGTAGTGCTTTTACTCCCAGGAAGACATTTTCTGTGCTGGTTATCTTTCCCTGCCAGAGGCTAGCATACAGTGGGCTGTGGAACTGAATTTGGAAGGAAGGGAAGAGGTTTGCCTGCTGATGAGTAACTGTGGTTGAATTTCATCCTATACATTGTTTACCCAATCCTGATCTCCAATCTATCTGGCTGCTCTTGTGAACCTTTGAAAAAAAGGTTTACAATAATACAGTTGCTTAAACACAACTTTTCCATCTGTCATCAGATGAGACAAGCTTCATATTTTCTCATAAAGAACTGAGCAGCAACTGGTCATAGGAAGAGTGTCTGGACTCACCACAGGTTCTTTAGGCCTGGAAATGAAAGGATGCAAAGAACATAATCCTATTGCAGCTATAAACTTTGTAATGTGGGGTGCAACAAAGTTCTGTATGCACCTGCACGAAAAGGGGGAAGCGCTCTGCTGATAGGTAAATGAGGACTGAAGGATGTATGCTCGTATGCTGAGCTACGATGACATACGACCCCAATTTTACATTTACATCTTCATCAATTTAAGCAGTCGTATCCGTTTCCTACTACTACTCCCTTTTCTCCTCATGGGAGAAGAAGGTGAGTACTCCAAAACAAAAATTTGCTCAACTAAAATTTTTCCAATTTAAGGTGGTTATTTCTGGTACCAGGAAGATAGTTAAGTATTTCTTCATATGATTCTTTATCCATTGTTAACACCTTAGGAGTTGCCCCCATATGGAAATATAGAGCCCTGCCCACATCACCTGCGTCTCGGTATCTGCCCTTACTTCCCTTCTCTCACTACTGCCAGTACTCTTCCAAGTGAACTCGCCTCATCCCAAAGACAGTTTTGCTTAACAAGCCCACAAATAATTCTTCATGATGAGTCGCTTTCGAACGGCCTGCGCTGCAACAACCTTGGCCATTCAAAGGGACAGCCTTCTACTTACAACTTGGCTGACTTGCGGCCTACTTGTCCCTGGAACTTCAGGACCCTCCTAAACTATCCTTTCCCTTCGTCTTCAAACACTGACGGTCGGCTCGCGGCGCCCTAACCGGACTCCCACCATTCTGGGCTGTGGGCCCAGCACATATTGGAGTTTAACGCGGTTCTTTCACGATGCTCACAGAAGCTCTGGTGCCAAGCAGGTGAGTGCGCGTTTTGGGCGGGGAGTGTGATGGGTTGGGGGTCGGCCGCAAAGCCCACGGAGGCACCGGGAGGCCAGCGCTGGGGCACGGTAGGGGCCAAGGCCGAGCCCCGGACTCACCTGGTAGCGCCGGTGGCCGGAGAGTGGAGAGGGGCACGAAGATCGGGAAATTCGCCAGTTTGGATCCTTGTCCTTTTCCACACTTTTCCCCCCATTAAATCCAGAATCCGTCACATGATAATTAAGAAAAAGATTCAGTTCCGCCTCCCAAAACAGCCGCGGTGGAGGATCTCTCAGTCCCACCTCAGTGCCACGCCCACATCCGGGGCTGGTTCTCGCCGTCGCTGCGTCAACCCTATAAGGTACAGAGGACGCCAATCTGGGTTCAGGCCCCCCCCTCTCCCCGCGGTAATTGGACCGTTTGTCCACCCGTGCAAACCAACCGACCTTTCCTTAATTCGGGTTCGACAAAAAGGCGGCAACAAAAAAAAACCCCAGTGGGCCCGCCTCTCTACTACCACGGGTTAAGAGGAAAGTCAATCCAAGCTCAGCCTGGAGTTTCCGTGGTCCCATTGGGCCCACGGATGCCAATCAAACCAGCTACTGCTCGGCCCCGCCCCCTCCGGGCGCCCCGCCTTTCCCCGGGTCCTCCCTGCCAGCGCGCGGAGACTGCAGGCTGCGGCGCAAAATCCTGCGGGAGAGGGGGCGGGGCGACGCTCCGCAGGCAGGACGCCCGCCGGCAGCCTCGTTGTGGCTCTTCGGGCTCCGGCGGCAGCAGCGGCGTCCACCCCAGCCGCCTCCTAGCGGCGCGGTGCCCGCTCCTACGGTAAGAGCGGCATCACCTCGGCGCTTGGGTGGGCTGTGCGGAGGTCGTCGGGTTCTGACGGCATCTCAAGGAAGGATCTGGACAAGGGAGGAGAGCGGCCCACGGGATGGAGGTGGGGGCTGCGGGGCTAACGCGTCGCCGGCCGCCGCCGGTGACTTCCCCAGCAGTCTCCGGTACCTGTGGGCCCGGGTCAGCCGCGGCCCCCTCCATCATCTGGCCGGTGGCAGAGGCTCAGCTTCCCTCCTCCCGAGCCCACGCTGTCCCCAAGCCTTGATGGTGACGGGCCAAAGCCCAGCTTCGCCGCCCTCACTGGTGCCGCCGCGCCCGCCCCTGTGCTCCCTCCTCAGACCCCTCTCCTTTGCTTCTTTCTCTTGGCACTGTGCTCACGGGGTCGTCGGGTCCTGGAGGGGCGTGCAGGGGTTTCGGGTGGCCGAGCGCTGGCGGGCGGGGAGAGGTCAGCTAGCGGCCGGAGGAGGGGGCGGCGGCTCTGCGCGCTCCGGACGCAGGCTGGGAAGGAGGGTCGCTGCCCTGCCCCCCCTGAGCAAGCGGCAGTTTAGTTTTCTGACCCCAACGCTGACTGCGGATTGGGTGCTGAAATACTGTGCACGGGCCTTAAGGGCTATTTTTCCCTGCTGGAACAATACCGTGGTCCACCAGCATGCTTCACCTTTTCTTATTTTTATCTGCCTAATGTTGACAGCCGGCATTCTGGTATTGTTCTTTTGAGTCATGGCTTTCTAACTTCACACATCCTTGTATAACTTTAGGGTTCATTTTGTCACTGATCTGTCACCGTTTTTATTTTTAGCGTAGCAAAAACAAGGAACTGCTTCATATTAACATATACTAGCCAGGGAAGTATGGAATCTGGAACAATTTATTAATTTCAGTATGTACTTTATATGCCAAGTAATTTTGAAATTCGTGGTGAATATATTAAATATTTTGTAATTTACAGTTGCTTTCTTTGTTAGTGGTATATCCTGCTTACTTTTAGATTACTTTGCGTGATACTTTGATCTTACAGTTTTTGGTAAGCTTTCACCAAACATTTTTAAACGTTTCTTTCGTTTCTATTTCCCGTGACGCTTTAGCTATAGACTTAGTATTTGATCTTGTTTTTAAGTTTTTTTGTAAAATTTGTTTTCTTCCAAACTGGACTTTTTAAAATGATATTTTTAATGTTGGAAGGGGAATTCTGAGAATTTGGAAACTATGCACTTTAGCTTAAAGACCCGTAAAATAGCATAGCCATTTGAAATCCTAACTTGGATTTTGTGTACAGGCTGCTAATTTTAAGAGATGGAAATAGGTATGCCTTATCAGTTGTAGTGGCTCAGCCTCCAGATTCTAGAGGAAAGAAATCTGGAGGTCTGAGGAAATGAGCCATGTCTGGGACCAGAAGCAAAGTGGTTCCAGGAAAGTTTTTTGCTCCAGAAATAGCCTGCCACCCACACAGGTTAGTTGTCTGTGTGCATCAGACATTATTAAGTTAGGCGTAAGTGAGCTGGGGAATGTCTGCTGTGTTCTAATTTTCAGCACTTTCTGGTAGAGCATGAAAATGTTCTAAGCAAATCAAGTATAGTGTACAATGGAGACATTCTTGTACAGTCAAGCCTCCAACAGTAAACTTTTTTTGAGCCTAAACTGGGCACTGGACAATTGGCCCTAAAAATGAACAAGGTGATCTGCGTAATTTTTAAACCACAGACATTTTTGACTTATCCATATAATGCCAAATTACAAGGAATTTATAATGAAAAAGACTAGACTGACCCAAAGAAAATTTAGGGTGGCATGTGGAGAAAATGAGGATCAAAAAATAGTTGAACTACTGATATATTATCTCATTTAATCCTTATAATCCTATGAGGTAGGTACTGTGATTACTGTCCTGCTTATTTTACAGATGAGTTAACCAAGACTTAGATTACTCATTTGTTCAAGATTTCTTCACTGGTGAGTTGATGGAGGCAGGATTCACGTCCACGCAATGTGATTCCAAAGCCTATGTTTCAAGCCATTATGCTTTACTACCACAGTAAAATTGGCTTCTTAGAGACTTGGTAGAAGGAGACTAATCAGTGGAAAATAATGCTGCAAAACCATAAACTGAATCCAGCATTGTACATATTTAGTAACATTTTGAGATCACTGTTGAATATTGCTGAGGATATAGGGATGGAGTAACCTTCTGTCTTTGAGAAGCATCCATTTAGTGGGAGAGATAGATATTTGAGCACATGATGACAATACAATATAATATATATAGATTGACAATTCCTAATCCAAAAATCCAAAATTTGAAATCTGAAATGCTCCAAAATCCAAAACATTTTGATTGCCAACATGACCCCACAAGACGCCTGGCCACATGTGACAGGTCACATTTAAATTCAGTCAAAACTTTGTTTCATGCACAAAATTGTTAAAAATATCATATAAAATTACTTTCAGGCTATATGTGAAAGATATAAATGAAACATAAATGAGTTTTGTGTTTAGACTTGGGTTCAATCCCCAAGATATCTCATTATATATATGCAAATATTCCAAAATCTGAAAAAGTCCAAAATCCAAAGCACTTCTGGTCCCAAGCATTTTGGATAAGGGATAATTATTATATACAACATATATTACTGTAAGAGAGTACTGTAGAGCGTGTGCTTTCATAGGAAGAAGAGTCAATTAAAGTATAGACAGGCCAGGTGCAGTGGCTCACTCCTGTAATCCTAGCACTCTGGGAAGCCTAGGCAGGAGGATTGCTTGAGCTCAGGAGTTCGAAACCAAACTGAGCAAGAGCGAGACCCTGTCTCTACTAAAAAATAGAAAAAATTAGCTGAGTATGGTGGTGCATGCCTGTAGTCCCAGTTACTAGGGAGGCTGAGGCAGGAGGATTGCTCGAGCCTGGGAGTTTGAGGTTACAGTGAGCTATGATGACGCCACTGCACTCTACCAGTGGCAACAGAATGAGACTCTGTCTCAAAAATAAATAAATAAATTAATTAATTAATTTTGGAATTGTTTATAAAAGAAGAATCCCAAAGTGACTGTTGCCATCCCTTAACCCCTTTACCTTGTCTGTAGCCACATGGAGTCAATATTGCAAACTCCCTTTTGCATATATGTTGATTGTCTTTTCTTAACCCCTACTTGAGACATGATAGTGGGACAAAATGTATTAAACTGGGACTGCCCCTGCAAATTCGAGAAAATCTCAAGCTTATATCTTCCTCTCAGGTTGGCACAGAGCCATACATACATTGAATTTATAAATGTGGAACATCACTTGGTGGCCTGAATCATATGACTAAGTTGAAAATATTTATGACATTTAGGAAAACTGCATTTTTAGTCTAGCTTGTTAGCCTCATAGAAATTGCTAAAATGATACATAGTATAGAGGAGTTTTCATATGAGAACAACTAATTACTTTCTAGAACAGGTAGTTTTAGAGCACTAGGAAAGAACTTCATATTGGACTTCATTCTAGGTAGTGAACAGGAACTGGGGCAGGAAATAGCTGTGGCTGAACCACTACCTGATAATAATCATAACATGATTAAATTTGACATTTAATGAGAGGAAGTAAAGGGAAAAAAAAGCACATAGTATGCAGCTTTCCCGCTGAGAAACAGGGAAAGGGGCTGCTAAAAGTACATGTACAGAAATTTTGAAGACATGTAGTTGGCACTCCTATTTGTTGCATGAATGAAAGTACTTAGTAAAACATTCAGTATAGGGTCCATAACAGCAAAAAATTTGTGAAAGTTATGTGACATGAGTTTTGGTGCTCTATAGACCTAGGTTCAAGTCCCAGTTGCGCTATCTACCAGTTGTGTGACTTTGGACTCATTATGTAATCTTTTTGAGGTTCAGTTTCATTTATTAATAAGATGAGATACCTATTTTGCAAGATTTTAAGAATTAAATGAGGTAGTTAAAGCACTTGATAAAGTGCTTGGCTTACAATTTTTGCTCAAAAAATGGTTGTTGCAATTATTTGACTAATTTGAACAGATTTTTTTATTTTAAATGCAGTTCCCAAATAGAATAAGGAAAGTCAGAAAATGGCAAACAAGCAAATAAAACCCTAAAAAAAACTAGTAAGATTCAACAGGCAAGATTGAATAAAGAATCATTGCACTGATGTATAAAAGAAGGAAAAATATAGGGAGAGAGCTTCACATTCTCAGATATTTTTCTGAGGAAAGTAGGTCATCAGAATCATTAAACCAGGTATAGTGAGTAAATAGGGTTTTGCTATTCTAAATGATAATGAAAAAATATCACTGAAATAGGGTCATGGTGCCGTGAATTAAGTATATAAGGAAAGGGACTTGTTTTCTCAAATCTCTTAACCACTTTCTTATTTATTCCTAAAATTCTTTAACAGAGAAAAGCTATTAATTGTACAGTTATAGAGAACATTTTAATTGCAAGTAATCCTGGAAGATAGAGCAGGCCAATTTAACTACACAGATTTTCTAATTTTCTAAGTATTTATTCCATATATCCCATTGTTTACTATGTATCTTTTGGGTGCTGAATGTATGATTTGTTGAAAAATAAACATATCTTCTCTTGTTCCCACATCTGTTTTACTCTCGTATTCCTTTTCGTAATGAGTAGTTCTTCTGGTGTTCAAGCCAAGAATCATGGAGTGTCTTTGTTCTTCCTGACCATATCTTTCATGTCCAGAAAGTCACCACCTCTGATTATTCTCTCTACTAATTATCTTTCATTCATGCCCTGTTCCAACACCCATAATTAAAAACAAAACAAAACAAAAAAAAAAACATTGCCACTGACTTAGCTCAGGCCCTCATCAGTCTCTCCCAATTTTTGTTGTTGATTTTGTTACTTTTAACTTATCCTCATACTAATCAACTTTTTCTTTTTTGAGACAGACTGTCGCCCAGGCTGGGGTGCCATGGCACAATCATAGCTCACTGCAACCTCAAACTCCTGGGCTCAAGTAATCCTTGCACCTAGGCCCC